GATTTTTTTTAATCTCACGCAAACTCGCAAACATATTTTCGTTAACGATTTACGTGTAATAGTATAATTCAAATGTGCAAAATACTATGTAAAATAGTAGATATCTATGGAGATAACGTTGATTGTAAATTTTTGCACAAAAATGCCTCAATTATCTTATCACAAGACAAGACGTATCTGGCTTAAAATTACATAAAACTTAACTAGGACACTTTAACGTGTTCAATTTTTTATCGCAAATACAACGACCTTGTCATTGAATGTAGTTTAAATAATCGTTTCATTATATTATGTAGTGAATTTTTTATTTCTTAACATTTGACTCTTTAACACTGAATTATAAAAGGGATTTCTAGCTGAAACAAGCAAAAGATAAAATAAGTTAGCCCGCCCTTTATGTACAGGGTAGAAGATGAACAGAAAAAGGATATGTCCTTCCCCTAATGCAATGGATATATGATTTATGAATAATTAAAATAACACCTTTCATTAATTTTGAATTATATTGGTACCTTGAACGCTGTGCCGTTTCCTTTTAAAGTGCAGTACTATTCGCGACCTCGATAGCGCACTGCCGTCTACAAAACGTTTTGGTCGATAACCGGATCGTAAACATGCGCTGCACCTGCCTGACACTATTTGCCTACTTTGTGCCACTACACTATATCTTTCAAGTTGAATTTATAATTAACTAGAGATACACCGTTTTACAACGATACAACTTTTATGTTCAATTTCAATTATTGTCCTAGAGTCGTCAATGGTTGCTTAATGGTCGCTTATTGTGGATTTCTTACACTAAATCTACGCTTAAGAGGCTTCTTTAGTAAAGGACGATTCTGAAAAAATTGCAATGCCGAGAGATCAAAATTTTAGTATAAATTGAAGTTTAATATGGCCTTATATTTAAGACGCTGTTATATATTTATATGTCCTTTCAGTTTTCTAGTTTCAGTGCGTCAAAAGCAGAGGTATACTTAATTACTCTATTGCAATCTGTGTAACGCTTACAGAACTATTAATAAGTGTTTATTGTTAAGCTTGGTTACTATAAAATTCTTCCATAAACATTCTAAAAATATGTCGATGGTCACCTGTTCTATGAACTTGTTAATAAATTTTCTCACGTCACAAATACCTTTTGGAATTTGAATGTAACTGGAAAAGTTTTATATTTTACCGTTGCACATTAAATCATAAGATGTTAATTTTTTTCAAATGATGACCCCGATGTCACTGTCAATATATGATAAACAGCATATTTTGTAGGAAGACTTATGTTGCGGTCAAGTGCTACAGCATACTTTTTTATGTTATGAAGAGGAAATTTTTGTATTCTTGTATGTAATGAATAAACTCAATAACTATGGGACCGATTTCAATAATTCTTGAGTAACATAGTCTGTTTACTTCATTTTTTTTAATTTTGCGCGAATGAAGTTAGGAGGAAAAGCTATTCTTCAACAAACGTGGTAACAAAACCGTGAGCTACATCCACTTACAGTAATATATTGTTTTCTCTCTGTCTTTTCAAAGAGTTTGAAAAGGGTGGCAATATTTTTAGGTATTTGCTTTTTGTCGGTCGAAACAGTAAGTCATTTAACATGACATGAGAGAGAATCATTCAGTGGTAATCAATCATATAGTGTTAGAATTGAATGACATGATTATATAGAATGACAATTCTGCTTATGTTTCTATTGAAAATAGAAATGCGACCTACCAAATGAATAGGATGTGTTCGGTAATCACTAATGTAGATTTATGTAACTAAAATTACGTTTAAAGTATAGGAATTCTGCAAAGCGTATCTAAAAGTTTAACGGCTAAATACGGAGAAAAATCTTAAATAATACGTTTCGTAAGAGCCGCTTATTATCTGACAGATGTCAAAATTTAAAAAGAAATCGGTTTTTAGGCATAACCTTATTATTTAAGACACAATAAATGTTTAAATAGTTAGTTCAAAATTAAATGCCTTTGACGTACTTAGAGCAAGATCAAACTCCTTTCCACAGTCACTACAGAATATTAATTAGCAATCAAGAACCAGCAACTGAACAAATCAAGACATTACGCAAAATAAAATTAGCCAAACTTATCATAGTATACACACTCTCCCAAGCCGGGTGGTCGCCGTGGGAGAAAAGACCAAAACCCTCTACAGACTAAATTTAAATCACAAAATGTAATATGTGTCCATAGTATAGTATACATTATTTGAATTCCCTGAAATCTCAAAATAAATAATTACTTTCTTTAAACAACAGACAAATGTGCTAGATATGAGGATTATAAGAATAGAAGAAAGTTATAATGTGAGAAGATGTAAAATGCTTGATATCGGCTAATAATAATAATAAGAATACATAAGAGTATCAGGACATGCTAGTTATACCAAACGTAATACTTTTTATAAACAACAGAGAAGAAGCATTACAGAACGATTAGAAACTAGTGAAACCTAGGAAAGAAATAGAAATCTGTAGAGGAGGCCTGTGTCCGAGGACAAGCTGTAGATAGAGGATTAAATAACTACAACAGTCAGCAATTCATCAAGACAGTAGTGAAAAATAACTATGTTTATAATAAATTTTGTTTTATAGTATTGTAGGAAACATACTCTAAAATATCTATAGCAATAAAGGCTTTATTATTATTATTATTATTAAATGTTTAAATGCTGTTTCAGTATTCTGCTGTAAAGACACTTTAGACTTAGTTTTGGTTTATTAATATTCGCCAAAGAATTTTCTTCGTCTTAAGAAGGTTCAAATTAATTTGATCTGAAAAAATAATGCCTATGTTATTCACATAGCAATAATTTTGTTATTAACTTTTTTATAAAGCGAAAGCAATCAATGAATCTTCAGTTTTTTATGTATGTTATGATTTGGAACGGTATAGCTTTATGAATAGAAAAGGACGTAATTATTCTACGCTTCAAATTAATCAAGTCATCCATCATTATTACCGGTGTGGTCCAACAAACATTCGTTAGTAATTTTCTTAAACATTTAAGTCAATATGTAAACTTTCTCTAACCCAATTCACTTTTTCTTTCATTTCTTTATTTTGTTACTGTAAAATTTCATTATCTTTGACACATAAATTTTCATTATCAAAGGTTGTTTGGTTGTTTGTTGTTTTTGAGGTCGTATTTGCATTAACAAGTGGCAGTCGTGTTGGTTGCAGCTCGTGTTCACTCTCAACACACTTCACGTAGCAAACTTATCTAAGCTATAAATTTAAACTTCGACGCGCTTACCGTTACTGAAGGCAGATTAAATTGTACAATATCTGAGGGTCAATTGGACCCTTTCCCTGCGTTCTTGCGGGTTATTAGAAAGTTCTAATTTTCTACTTAACTGAGTTAAGTGTGCTCTTAACTTATGGTTCCATTAGTTATATTGTTCAGAGGTTTTCTTCCTCATGTATTTTGTTATGAACATAACGTTGCAACTAACTTTCGTAGACGGAATATACACGTGCTGTTCGTACCAGGCATTCGCTGGATGATGAATTAATGTTACTATTTCTTTCAATAATATTTCACATTTATCTGATAATATTATTAAAATAGCCTTGATAGTTTAAGAGTTTATTTCCTAGTCCATTTAGTAGTTCCAAGTTGTTTAAAGTGTTCACAATCAACGACTGCTTCGTCTATAAAGTACTAGCTGTTCCCATGCGGCTTCATCCTCATAGAATTATAAAAAATCATTTTTCAAATTCATTGTCAAATTCTCAATTGCAAATGTCAAAATTACTGTTTCCATAATGACCTTGTTTCTTTAATGTTTGCTTGCACCTTGTAGTTTATGGTCCCTTTCCCACTGTGATTGCTGACATCCTACTCCACAAAATAGTGTGTGTTTACGCTTTATTATATTTAATCATTTAATATGCATACAAGATGAGGTTATCTTAAATGCAGCATAAACATAATCAATAACAGCTTGAGGTGGGCAAAACTAACGTTATCGTATCGTTATCGTACCATCATCCTTTAGAATCAGACGTGAGAAAAAACGCTTTTTCTATACATGGCTGTTCTTTGTTTGATCCGTTAGGGTCACCGTAATTTCTATCAATATTGAGGTGTTTGTTTCCGTTACATCATTCATAATAGAAATATGTTTGTTATGCATTGAAACCTCTCTAGGTAGTATAGTTGTTGATGTTTCTTTAAGGACGTTGTAACCAGTAGCTTCAAGATTTTGTTATTTGTTAATTGTTAGAATGTCTGAGTCTTTACTGTACTGTTCCAGTAGGGAATGGCAGTTATGATGAACATTGTTACAACAATCGCAAATTTAATACCGTAGAAAGTGAAGGAAGGTTCTAGTCTCTTTAAGTGTTGTGATTTATTATCAGTAATGTTAGGTAATGACAGCTATGGTTCAGTGTTCCTTTGTTTTGTTTTGTTTGCTATTAAAATGTACTTTTAGTACCATAAATAAAGTAATAAAACAATCTGTCCGTAATATCGGGATATACTGTTTATCTCTTATCGACTATTACCATAAATAGCTTTGCCTCCAGCAATATTGGATCGTGCGTCGTCGATTTGTCTTGTAAATCGGCAAATTGGTGTGAAACTGAGAAAATTGCATTGTTGAGTCAGTACTGTTGCTTTCTTTTGTTTTGTTTGCCCTTCCTAGTGAATACTATCTATTGATTTAGGTGAAAGTGAAACGTTCGTTACCGTGTAAGATATGCAAGATTGAGTGATGTCGGGTCGCTCATAAATCATTATGATGATTTTTAATATGTTACTATTATGATAGATTGGATGGTACTTTAGACATAATTGCTGTTTAGGTGGTTATAGAATAAATTTTTATTCGATATTTATATATTCTTGTGAAATTTGTACATAGCACAGCACAAACTGAAACTTTTGAAAATTTAAATTACCATCAATGTCTTTTACTTTTTGGTGTTTTAAATAATCGTACATTCTGTATATTAACGTGGAGTTTTTTTGTTGTTTTCAGAACTGGCCGAGAGACCGCTATCGGCATAGAAAAGGCAAAGGGGCGCCCGGAACCCAAAATGTGACCACCGACAAATGAACCAAAACAAACAAACGCACTCTTCATATTCATGAGTCTGAGAAGATTACATGATCAAGACAAATTCACTTATTTATTATACATTATTATTTAAAGAAAAAAACGAATCTAGTCGCTGTAGTTCTTTTAAACACGAAGCAATTTAGACTTAAACATTATACACATGGAGTTGATATTGAAACAACTGCTGAAGTACAAAGAGTAAAGAGGAATTGATAGAGAGTACAAAACGAACTCGGGAATGCTATGGTTGATTTAGCAGTAAATTGATTAATTTAGTTGTTCCCGAAGTAAAACGAAAAATAAACAAGATGTCTGCGAGTAAGTATATTTCCATTTTTTTTTGTTTTTACGCATTGTTTCCGCATAATATCTGTTAAATGTAGCTAAGGTAGCTATGTAAATTCTTGGCTCTTCATCTCGTTAATTTGAGGGTCTTTATTTCAAAAGATCTTGTTTGTACACACTTCAAGTTTTTTAACGAGCTGTTGCCCGTGACTTCGTCTACGCAACGTTAAGATAGAAAAAGTAGCCTATAATATGCCTCTCTATGTCAGATATCCGTGCAAGTCCGATCGAAATCGGCCGTTTCGGAGATTGCCCGGAACAGACGCAGCTTGCGGAAAGACAGACAGACAGACGAAAAAAATTAAAAGCGATTTTTGTTATCAGTAACGCAAATACATCATCCTTCCGAAATTTTGATTTTTCTTTTGATTTTACAGACTCGCCAATTTTATTGTATGTAGGTAGGTATAGATTTAGTTTTGTAAAGACGTTATTAATAAAATAAAATATCAAAGACGTCAACAATGAAATACGTTAGTTATCGTTCAAAGTGCACATAACTGAGCACAATAGCGTTGCATAACTGATAATTTTACGTCACGTAAACTTTGCCTTCTATTGTCATCTTACGTGTACTGAGAAACGTTTTAACGGTCACGATTACCACAAATCGTTTTACATGAGATAAAAACTCATTGATATATGAGTTTAAGGTTATTCAACATTACCGAACACTGAAACGACATTTAGGTATGTAACTCAGTTTATAAGGCCACTATATCATCAAAAAATAAAATACGTGATTCTCAAGTGTTTTGCTCAGATTTAGATAGAATAGCAAGTGACGTTAAATAATTGCCAAGGCTTCATAATAGACACTAACTAAAATGAGGTTTTACGTGATATCTAATACATTTTTGTATGGGAAGCGATACTGCAGGTTTTCAATTTTATGTTTTTCATGAGATGTTTCTTTACTATCATTATTTATACATCAAAGTTCCTTATTTATAACTTTTTGTAAAGGTTTTAAGGCACTATAAAATCTATTTCTTGGAATAGACAAACATTATCAGAGTCAACAAATCTCGATACTCGTAGTCTATTGATTGCTTTCTTGGAACACAGGTTCATGTCAACATTCGGTTCTCCCTTTTTGTAATACTTGATAGTGGTTTTTATTGCGTGGGATATTTGTGGGGTCCCATTCTTAGAACGAAATTATAAGATCTTATGAGTTGATGATGGCCGATGTACAGTAAAGTTATAAATGCATGTTAATGTTTGTTTTGATTTTAGAGTTAATCGATAATAATTGTTCTAAATGCTATCCTTTTAATCTTGATTGCCTTAAAATTAAAAGTAAAACTTCAATGCTAGATGTTAAAGACGTAAAAAACACCATTATTTTGAATAAATGAAAAGTAGTAAATGGATATTTTGTTTAGCTTAATTAAAGATTTTACATCTTTTAAAAAGTTTTTATTACGATAATCTGATCCTTGGCTATGTAACTAATGCATCGTTCCACTGATTTTCCAGGTTTCGAGCATTCTGCAATGAAGAGCAGTTTCTCGCTGTCATCACTGCGGAGCGCACCCGCGCCCCCTGGCGGTCGCTGCGACCAACTGGAGCGACCATACCATAGCCTCACTAAGAAGAGGTTAGTTGACATGATTGTTTTGACGTTATAACAAAAAACCTAGAAAGAGATGAATGGATTGCGTGAAAGATAGCATGATCAAGAAGGGATTGATGACTAAGATGAGGGATGATAGAGTTACGTTAGTAAGTAGACGAAAACCCGGTGCGCCGACCCTACGGGAATAGGATAAGGTGGGGGAATTGATGAAAAAAGCCACATAGCAAAGAACATGCATATACAAACTAGTGTTGTACCTATATGACCACGTAAGGGCCCAATTTATTTCTTTAGAAGAATAGGACTGCAAACCGTGTAAAAAGTACACAAATATGTTTGTGTTGACAATATACAGTGGACGTTAGACAGCTTCTGTAGCATAAACGATTTTGTAAATTAACTGGGGATATGTTTAATATTTCAGGAAGGAACCATGTCGCGAAGCGTGGCGGCGCAGCTGGGGCTCAGCGGCGAGCGGCGGCAGCGCGGGCGACGACCTCTGGCCGCTGCTGCAGCACCACTACGACTACATCATGGACAACCAGATCATTGACAGCTGCAGGGTCAGTACACACTAGACTTGATAACTAGCGTCCTAATAGCCTTAATTACTTGCTCTGCGTACAATAAATAGGCTACCTAAAAGGCTCATGTACACAGTATTCGTTAAACTTTATTGCATAACGACTGTGGAAAATTAGTTTGTTGAAATCTGTCTGTATGTGATCTCGTAAAAATAGAATTAAAAATAAGTGAAACCATTCTTATTATATCATTATTACTGCCAGCGTACTAAAAGCGTTTGTTTTGCTAAAATCGTGTAACGTGACAGATTACTAAATTGTTGTGAGCAGCGCCATCTATTAGCGAAATGAAGTAAACAAAAACTCTTCATACAACACTGGCCAGCTTAACGAAATAACAATTTATACAACGTCGAAGTTGTTTTTTTGACCTATCGATAGTTCAAACCCTAACCCTAAAGTTCTTTAAACTAATTGTCATAGATGCGGGATTGTGTCATATTTCGTTAAAGAATGCATAATACCTCATTGTTAAGGTGAATGTAACATTCCAGGAGGCGAACGGCGAGCTTCTATCGCACAACTGGACGTCGCAGGGTCCCCGGCTGCTGCACCCGACGTCGGCGTCCGGCGGCAACCGGCAGTGGTCCCTGAACCAGCTGGTCGCAGAGTTCACTGAGCTCTGTCAGTGGCTGACGCACGTGCAGGAGGAGATTTACTCTAGTCCAGAGAACCTTTCCAGCAGGAAACTGAGAAAGGTATGTTAGTAATGCTCAATTTTTTAAACGTACTCTAAGACGAAAGGAAACGTAATTCAAAGCACTTATTTAGAAAATTTCAAAGATGTGAAATGATCTAACCTGCACTGAGACAACGCGACTAAGGCCTAGTAACCCTTAACCTTGGGTAGCCTCTAAGGCCTTTACTGGATGTTTAGTGGTCTTGATCATCATGACAAATATAATTGTAATCCCAAGAGATACAGGTTATGTTAAGTTAGCATTATTTCTGTTTTTCAAAAAGTTAGACCACAATTCATCATCAGCTTTATCATCCGACTTCTGACTGACGAGATCTAACTTCTTCCCCTATTCCATTTTTTTACGGTTATGTGCACCTCTTAATCACAAATTAAGTTGTTGTTAAAACGCAATGTACTTTATAGTTAAATGTTTAGAATTATCTTAGATGTTTTAAACTGTGGTCCAGGTATTTTGATATTTATATCTTTACGTACCAATTGAATCACGTTTTCTAAATACCTGCTTCTTTTTTACAGAGTCGCATGGCCGAGCTGGTATCGGTGGAGCACCGTCGTGTGAAGTTCGTGGAGCAGGCGTCAGCTATACTGGATCGGATACCGGAGGCCGCGGCTGAGGTAAACTTATCTTAAAATTCTCCACACTTGTAATAAAACGTATTTCGTCTCTGTCTTTTTAAAGAGAATGAGAGGGATGGTAATATGATTATAGAAGTGTGCCCGATAGTGGAAACCCACAGTTACATTTAACACATAGTATTTTAGAACAAGGAAAATACGCATCAGTTTGTGGTTGTCTTTTCTGACTAACTGTCCTGTTTACGCACAATTAAGTTTTGTTGGGTATAAATAATATAATAATAGTTATTGTTTCGAATGTTATTTAAAAGGTGTGTTAATGCATGTTCGTATTAACTCTGCGGAGGTTTGCCGACGACTCCCTCTCCTACTAACATCCACCGTTTCCCGCGCTCCTCTGCTCAGTAATGTCAAATAACGCGTGACGTCATAAGACCAACGGCAAAGCTAGAATGTATGCAAGAGTGACCTTAATCAGTCAAAATAGTTATAAATCGATTATTTGTTTAAAAAACCTTTTTAAAATTATGTTAAATGTTATTATTTATTGAAGTTAATATTTATTATTAATTAAGGTATGTTGAATGTTAAGTCGTATTATTTGATGTTAAATGTGTTATTTGTTATAGGTAACCTGGCGAATGGAACATCTAAACGTGAAGTGGGAGAGTCTGCGGCTGCTGCTGAGTCCTGAGCAACAGCAGAGAGAAGGAGACTGCTCCGATACTGTCGGTAAGGTTCAGATATAGATACAGGAACAGAAAATTAACCAAGCGAGCAAACGATTTCTGTTGCGATGCTTTACTTATAGAAAAGTCCATCCTTCGACCACATCTTCACCTTGGTCTAGGTGGGATAGTGGTCAAGCGCTGGTTTTTTTTCAATTTAAAAAAAAAAAAGTTACTATATAATTGCCAAATATCTCATTCTCGAGTATCGTTATTATCTCATCATGATTGGTGATGTTATTGAAAAGTTAAATACTTAATTACGCAATGCATGGTCATACTCTGCGGGAACATGACGCACACGCTGCGCTATCACGAAATCGTTTTATAAGGAAATTTCGAAATATATGAAATAGCTACTTTAATTTTTTCCCAATCTAAACGAAAATCAACTACTGAGTGCTCTCCTTCATTTTAGTTAGTATCATACAATAGTACAAAAGCGTGGCAAAAGAAAGCCAACCCAGCGGACAACTGTGTCTTTGCGCTGGTTTTCGACTGATTCCTTTTTCCTCCTTTATTATAATAGAATGGAGCATTACATGTATTCTTCTAGACTATCCTCTACACCAATGCTATTTTATTTTTATAACATAAGGTGGCAAACGAGCAAGCGGCCACCTGAATCCGCCAAAATGGCGAAGTGACCGCTGCCCATAGACATCCGCGTTGCGTTGCCTACCCTTATCTGACGGAGGAGAAGACGCACATAAAGAGGATATTGCCCCTTCCTATGCATCTCCTCCACCGTCAAGTCCACTTCCCCTTCCCATCCTCTCCTTATAAGAAAAGGGTGGTAGAGAGAAAGGGACTTAAATTAGGCCTCCGGCACCACACTCATCAGGCGAAACACGGAATTGCTTCCATTTCACGCCTGTCTTCTGTGTGGTCGTGGTATTACTGGGGGCGTGCCGGCCCTGCAGTGCTAGGACGTTAAAGCGGGCACTACCACTGTTATAATGCTAAATTTTATCGAGATCTGTTTGGCAGTTTAGACTACAAACTCTATCAAGCCATCCATGTAAACTTTCGCATTTTTGATATAAGTAAGATAAAAGACAGATCTAGAAGATAAAAGATTTTATTAATAAGACAAAAATTGATATAAAGAATAGCAACAAGGGTGCTTCCGTTACATTTGTGACTGTTTTGAATGTTTGTTGATGTGAATATGGCATTGTGCAGACCCCGCGCACGAGCTGCGCTGCCTGCGGCGCTGGCTGCACGTGATGGAGGGCCGCCTGCCGCCGCCCTCGCTGGCCGCGCGCGCGCAGCCCTACCACGACCTGCTCCGCAAGCTGAGGGAACATCAGGTATCTTAACACTACCAATTGTATTATGTCTATACTAATATTTTAAAGAGGAAAGATTGGTATTATTGTATGTATTGAAATGACTAAACTACTGGGCTGATTTTAAAAATTCTTTCACCATTAAAAGCTACATTATTGCTGAGTAACAGGCTGCATTTTTTATTTTACGTGAACGAAATCGCGAGCTAATTATTAAATATAGCAGCATGTGACAAATGAGCAAGCAGTCGCCAGATTTAAGGAAAGTAGTGATCGCTTCTCTTAAAAATCTGCACAAAGTTCAAAGGTCAAATACGTCTACTTTAAATGAAAATAGAACGCACAGAAAGTTAATACGTTTCTAAATCCACTTCCCCTTCCCATTGTTAAAGATTCAAACTTTAATGTGGCTCATGGTTAGCTACGAAACTATGTTTTTGTAAGTGGGCGCCCGATAAGCGAATACTATTGGGGAAAAACTCGTAATGGTGTGCCTTGCCCCTTGATTTTTGTGTAATTTGTGTAAGCTGTTTTTTTTTTTTGTTTTACTGTAACATTGCCATATAAAATTTAAGTGTACACGTTCGACACGACAAATCGTATATCATCCCCATCGTCTCTTTGGGAATCTTCACATGTGCAGTGTTTGCTTATTGCCTACTACCGCGTTGTAGAATCTATCCTTGGCGGTTCAAACTATTTAGGGAGATTTGTCACAAATCGACTAACACAAATAAAACTTGCTATGATATAGGACATTTTAAAACTTTCACATATAAAACCTAGTATAAAAGGAAACAGCCTGTCAGTTGTCAAAGATTATAAAAAGTAGTGAAAACAGCCTGTCAGCACGATTAGGATGTAAAGCGTAATAAATAATACGCAGTTAAAGAAGTTAAAACGAATGTAAAGAAATATGCCCATTCAAATAGCACACATAGTAGAAGTAGGTGTGTACATCATTCAAGTGTGACAGACTTACCGCGGTGACATGCGATAAGCGATATGAAACGATTCCCATAACCTACATTACACTTCTTTGTCTGTGTAATGTGTGTTCTAACAAAATGGAATAAGGTTGATATTAAATTGTAAATACAGATCGTAATACCTGTTGCACTCGACATTAAGATTTAAATCCGCATTATTTATTATATCTGTGCTTCATAACTGTTTCTACTTTTCTAGTTTACAACGTGAAATTATTTTTCTCGTTTGTTTAGTTTTTAAATGTTACAATTTTAACCTTAATAACAATTGCGGTTATTCTACATAATTGTCTTCGAAAGTAAAACTATCTTGTGCTTTAAGATATATAAAATTGATTTTGATATAACCTGTAAATGCGTTGCTAAAAGTTGCCAACCCTAGCTAGTAATTTGTATAAGAACATTGGAGGCGACGTTAAACGGCGGCGAAGCATCCCATAAATAAGCTCCGATTACTCGCTACCAAGTTCGGAGGCAATTTATAGTGTGCAATAACACTGCATCAATACATTACACTACACACCGCACTACTGTTACCGGTAAATAGCGAAGTCCGACCATTTGTATTTTGCCCAGGCAAATTGTTAAGATAACAAATTCGTTGTGACTTACTATATTTCGACAATTTTAAATGTATTCATTGGTTACATTGTTATTAGTGATCCAGCCCTCGATTTTCTATTGACTGCATCTATATAACAGCTAATGCAACGTGTTCTTTAAGTATTATCGAAAAATGACCAGTATGCAAATCAAATTTATGAATGAATTCATTCAAGATGCAGTTTGTAAAGTCTTAACAATGGTCTTGAAAAATTTCAAAGAAGCAATATTCACAATTTGCAGGTGACATATTCACAAATGGCGGCCATAACTCCGCAGTCGGTGCTTGCCCTTAATTAGCTCCGTGAGAGCGCAGCTATTGGATGCCTTGTTGAAATAAATTTGCCTATCTTTAGTACTATTGTGATTTACGGTGACCCAATTTTATAAATTCGCTAGGTATCGAATGAAGAGATCGCAGTAGTGAAATTTAATACGATACTATAGCAAGATTCTATTTACCAGGAGTAATAAAATTATCAATTTCCGAACAAAAACATTATTTTGCATAGGTTAATGCGATCATAAAGATAGCAAATTTCAGGTTACATTGTTTAGACCAAAACCGTAGATTCCAGTAAACCAACTAGCTCTCCCCGAGCGGCTTCATCCGCATGAAATAATAAAAACTTTATTTTATTGTTTACATTTGTGAAATTATAATTTGCTAATGTCAAAATCAAATGCACAAACGACAACGATATCAACCTTGCTTCTTTTATGTTGGCAGCTTTTAATGGTCCCTTTCCCGTATGAAAGTTTTTTCCAATTTATTTACCGCCTAAGTTAAATAACGTAAAAGTAAATAGCCTAAAGCGTGTCATAAGTATAGGACTTTTTATTAAAGAAAGAATTATAAAAAAATATGCTTAGCTTGCTGCCATCCTACGCCACGAAGTAGTAGTAGTGTGTGTTTACGCTTTATTATATTAGTATAGAAGTACAGATATGGATGAAGACTCGGTTATTGTGGCTGAATCTTGCTGCTCGTTTTTATAACCAGTTTGATTTGCAGTTCTGTCTGTAATACAGCCAGTTTACTTACATATGATATACAAAGTGCTGGCCAGTAAATCTTAATCATGCCACATTTTGTTTCATGACTTCCATATAAGTGTATTTTGGTGTTTGTTTATATATTTTGTTACAGTTAACTTCACAAAGTTCGTATTCTTTTGTTTTAGAAGCCATATTTATTTTAGCTGTTTTAAGTTTTCTGATCATTTTTAATCTGAAGTTAGACTGATAAAACAATCTGATTTTGAGTTATACTTCATACTAATATTATAACTGCGTTTGGATTAATGGAATTTTGTTACTAGTTATCTTCAAAATGGATCTCTTTATATTTAGAACTTTGTCTGAACCAATATGTTCTACATTGGTTTAAAATCAGCGTGCTCATTTCACTTGAAGTTATGTTTTAATTATAATAGCTTTTACTTTGTTTCTTAACATGGATCAATAAAATTTTTATAGATACCTAAATGTGAATAATATTCATTAATTTGAATTTTAACGTTTGAATGTTGCATTGATTGTTCTAAGTTTTCTCTGACCCAGTTATATCTTACAAATGGAACTTTTTATGAATCGGTTATTATTGTAGCCGTATTTAAAATTTGAAACCTTTTACATATTAATAGCTATATTTCAAGGTGAGGTCAATTTCACTTTTATTCAAATAGTTAGCACGGATAAAAAGATATCTACCATAGATTAAAAAACACGTGTCCAAAGGCCTAGCATTGGTTATTTTTTCGTTTTAATTCAATTTCTTTGTAATGTTCTTTAATTTTAAATGTGTTAATATTCACATACAAAGAAATATCTAGACGTATATTTCGTCTAGTTAACAAAGGGCTATGAACTTGGGAAACATAACAATTACCATAACGCCAACGTAGTTTATTTCTCTCCATTGCCACTTACGAAATGATTACTTATGAGATTACAAATGTTAACTTCCCACTCAGGACTCGGCCGCAAATTATACACTATTCTTGGGAGCTGTTTCGTTAGTTTTCAATGGATATTAAATTGTGCAAGGCGCCTGCAATAAAATTATTGTAGATGAAGTTAATCGAACATGCTTTTTATATATATTTAAACTATACATTTTCATATCCAATTGGTACAGGATAAATAGTGATTTATATGCATATCAAACTAATTATTCATAGATGAAACGGAACACGACAAAACTGTCACGATATAATGAAAATGTCTCGGGAGGTGTATCGATTTCTAATCGATGTTGTACGGGGGCTGTAATTACGGCGTCAAAATTAGGTGCGTTGTGTCGGGCGTCGGTAAACAAACGGCCGAGATACTGCTAAGTGATTAACGAGCGGGTAATGGCGGCCTCACCCTGCCCGGTAGCGGCTTTCGCTCCCGCAGGCGGGCGACACCACCGATTTATGCGATAGCGAATGATCTCAGGTATCGATACCATCTTTTGAATACGAAGAACGTTTTAATAGTGGTCTTTTACACTTTGAAGTGTACAAGTACAATGGTGGGTATCTTTAAAGCTAATTAGGTTGTCTTTACTATTCTATAAAGCTTAGTGTTGTTATTAGTTCGGTAATATTCATATATCGTGAAAGAATACTCTTAGAAATGTATTTGGCATCCCTTTGGAAACATTCGCACGCATAAATATTAAATTGTTTATAGAACGATGTAGCCACGGATTGTACACAAATCGCTCTTGCCCTTTACACTTTGGCCGCTATCTGTTCAAATCTCTTTGTTGTAACAATGTTCTCATTTGAACAGCAGAATAAGGTGTTACCAAGAACAAGTGTATATTCATTCAAATGGCTACGTAACGGTGTTTTTTACCCCGTATCCGTCTATGATCTTACCGCAAAGTGTTTTTGCGCGTGAGATAAAGCCATTATTGTCGATGATATCTACCGTGAAGTCGGCCAAGTTTCTGTTGATGTGCTGTTGAAATATCTAGCAATATCTATGGCGGATGATAATCGGTTACTTAGTAAAACATTAGGAGCAGAATGCCATTAATTCTACATTCTCTAAGTTATCTCACTTCTATCCCTATGTCCCTAAATGGGGCGGAGGGCGTCCACAGTACGCCGCCAGCTCGCTAAGTTATAGGTGATACTTATTTAAATTCCTTTATTTTTCTGGTCGCTACATCCAAACATTCCGTTAAAATTCTAGTAAAACTTAACGATTATCTACAATTTACTTTATTATTCATAATTGTTATTGAGTAAAGCGGATTATATATGTTAATACTTATTACTATTAGCGTCGGGGTAAATTCATGTTGCTACAATGACTGGCAGATGTTTTAGATTAGGGAGATTATACGAGCTGAAGTGATGAATACGGGTTATAGAGAAAGGTTTCCAACTTTCTGTTAATGGAATTCCGTATTCCCTGTTGCTTTTCAACAGC